CATTCTTGGCTGATAAAAGATATTTTTTCTTAAAACTGGATTCTTGAAGCACTTTGGCTAATATCCAAATGTAGTCCTGCTTCACTTGTATGCAAATATTTTGTATTTCATATAAATCATTACTTGCTGTAATTTTACATAAGCACACTGTTACCAGGCTGAGAACTTAAGGCACTTGCATTCTGTAGGAAACAGAATTTACGGTATATAATGCATCACACTATTGACTTTTATTTAACTTAAAAATAAATAACTTCTATATTTTCTCTGCCAGAATGCTAGCTCGGCAACATGCCTCCAGGGAAAAATGCTCTTTTTACAGCTAGAGGGCTGCCCAGAGCAGCTTCCTTGTCTTGGACACAACATACTGCTAGAGCAGGAGCAAAGGCGGCTATCCCTCATGGAAACAATGCTGCTACCTGAGTCAGACAGCTTGCTCCCCTGCCTCTACCCTCCTTTGGGTATTTTCTATCTTGCCATCCCCTGAAAAGTAACAAGGAGACAGAGTCACTGGTTTAAAATTAATTAATATGAAAGCATAAGAATGCCAGCAAGAGCTGGGAAGATGAATGAGAAGATGCCTCACACAGAAAAAGCAGTATATAAACACAAAGTTGGGGAAGATCTCTCATAACATAGAACAGAAGGAGAGAATCCCATTCAGAAGGAAAAGACAATGTAACAGAAGCAATCAAGATGAATCACATCTCTCTGAAAATTAATTTTGATTTCCATGGAGGGTAACAGGCTTTCTTCTCAAAATCACAGAACAAATTTCTAGAAGACTATATCCTCACTTTGGTGCATATTAAATGATATTTCCTTGATCCATTTTCTGTGCAAAGTCCACATTACAACTATCTATCACTCTGCTTCTTGATATAGACTCATCCACCATCTCTAGTTAGGGAGATACACCCTTATCTGTGCTTTCCTGCTTTTATAAACATGTACATACCCAGGTCATAATACATGAGTTTACACTGTTTATGTGTCTGAGAGGTACAAGAAAATATCATTGTATGTAATATTGAATTACAAGGCAAGCCAGCTAGCTGAGAGAGAATCATGACATATAAAATCATTTCCCACCACAGCCACATATTCAAACAGCAGACTCTTCCAGAGTTCAGACTAACTGCAAGGAATCTGCAAGTACTATTTAAGGCAGCCCTCTATATGCTTGTGCTTACTACAGTGTTATAAGTGGCCAGTAAATACCCCACTTGAAAAGTTTTAGACACCCCTAAAAAAAGAGCAGGGAAGAAGTCACAGCAATCTTAAGAACTCAGATGTTTAATATTCTCTACCCTAAACCGGAAGATTCAATAACAGAAGAAATGTCAGACATATCACATATTGTCAGACAAGATCACTAAAATTAAAGTACAAACAAAACAAAGAAAAAACTACCATAGGCTTAATCTTAGTTCTCAAAAGAAATAATGCTGGAAGCTTAAGTAGTATAGCCTTTGCATTTCCAAAAACAACAACCAATTTAATAAAATTAGCATTAAAAACAAAGTTTGTAACCAGGGAATACTTAAATTCCATGCAACATCAATATTGCTAATATTGTTAAATGCACTTTAAACTAGCCATTTCCATAATGTTAACACAACAGCTAAATACTGCTAATGGCTCTATGCATACAGCTGACCTTCTTTTTATGCATAATAACAACGTACTTCTAAGTCCCAAGAGTTATATCACCAGCTAAAAATCCTGACATATTTAAGTAAAATTCATAAATAAGGCAGCTACTGAGTACCTCTTAAAAAATAAGTTCAGAAGCTCATAAGAAAATTGTAATATCTGCCAAGGTCTTTCACCTTATCCAAGGCTGCTGCTTTTATACACCAAGGCAAAGAACAGATTTTTATTTCTATCTGTTGTCATAAAACAATGGCAACAGTACACACACAGCCAAGGGCCACAGTAAGGAAGGGAAAGAGGAAACAATGGAATCATGCCGCAAGTCGTCCTATTAGAAGAACAAACTTTAGATGTGTCTGACTTCACAATGTGACCTACCTTTCACTGTTAGGTTGGGTACCACAGACATTCAACAAACCCAAAATGTTCTCTGTCACACAAATCCCCTCCTGCTCCCATCATCAGCTTAAATACCCCATTACTTTCCCTTGTTACAAAGCTGGATGAGCCACCACCCACCTGCAATCAAAGTTCAGGGCACTACGCCACATGGGATACTTGGAGCCAGCCTAACACCTCCTCTTGCTCCTTCTTCCACTGCAGGGGAGGACACAAGGATGAGGAAGCAATGGTGCCTCTAACAGTAGCTATTCAAAAATTTAAACTGAATGTAATGTTTCAATTTACAAAAACATCCTGAAGCTCAACAATCACAGCAGGACTGTTTTGCTGTCAACAAGAAGCATAATGTAAGAACAGTGAAATTGCAAAATCAATCACACATGTGAAAAGTATAAATGCATACTGAATCCAACCTTTGTGGGCATACTCATCATCTCCCAATTAGATGATCACATACTAATGTTTCCACAGGACTACTATCTTATTTAGCACACAGATTAGATGTTTAAAAAAACCTCAAAATTGATCTAGCTGAGTATACACTCTATGTTCATACTCCTAGACTCTCTGCAATATTCAATACTATTAATTAATGCAACTCCTCATCCTAGAAATACAACAATGATCCAGTATACTGTAGTCAAACTGGTTCACGAGTCCTCCCTAGAAGGACACACCAACACACAAAACCAGGAACACTGCACTCATGCTGCTCAGTCCTCACACCCCAGAGGAAGCAGTTCTTATTCTTCAGATATGAACTGATATATCTTAATACAGTAATAATCACTTCAAAACTTTTACCCAGAAAATTAACAAATGAGGAAAAAAAAAAAGTGTCGCAAGTTACCAATTTTGCTTTAACATCCGCAAGATGTGGTGCTGATGTACGCAAATAAAGTATGAGATGCGCAATGCCTGAATCTTTCAATGTAATTTCTACTATTTGCATTTGTATACCAAAACATTAAAAGACAGTATACGGTTAGTGATAGAAAGCTTTATTCTCTTATTCCTACTAAAACTAGAATCCTTATATTTAAAGCATTCTCCAATTTATCAACAATTTTCACAGTAACAAGGTAATAAACACCATGCTACCACATAGATGAAGACTAGTTCCCACAGCTAGGCACAGCATTCTCTGCACTTCTACTTTCTAAAAATTATATATTGCACTACCATAGGCATTTCTGCAGGAGATCACTTAAATTATATTTAACTCCTTAATGATACAGATCTTGAAACTTCTAGGTTTTGCTCACAGCTGATTAGAATAATAACTAAGTACTTCTTTATTATGCCCCCATGAACAAGAGGTTTCAGGTGATACAAGGTCTTCCACACTTGCACATCAAGTACAAACCACTACCCCCTGCTGCAGTTTATCAACACATAACTGAATCACAGAAAATAATAAATGTTTAATGCTGGAAAACTGTTAAAAAGTTACCCAAAGAGCTTCCAAATTACTTTCTAAATCACTGGTACTCTTGATACAATTTCTTTTGTCCATCCTTTTATGTCAAAGTTTCTCTTTTTACCATTTCCTGAAGAAAATTTTCCAATTCACTTTCAGATATACAAAAGCAACATGAAATTGTCCGTGTATTTCAGCATGGAAAATAGTGGGAGCAATATGAAAACTGTGAGAACATCATTCTTTGACTACGGCAGAAATCTTTTACTCCACTTTGTCTTTCAAACAGCAGTTTCTTTTCTATGTGAAATTTAATATAATAATAAACTACTGCAAGACAGTCACTGTGGTGGGGCAGGACAGCTCAGATTTAGGATAACAGGAACATAAAATGGTAATTCTATGAGCATCCTCTTCCCATAGTTCTTGGGCAAGTTCTTGAGACTGCAACAGTCTCCTCATAGTAGGGGAGAGAGTGCAGGCAGTGGTCAGGTGACTGTGCACCTGCTCATCTTTAACAAATTAATTGATAAAACTAGTTTATACACTTTACTAAAGGAAAGATGATGCTTATAAATGCAGCTAGTGGGCTGATTAGCATAAGTTCATGACAAGTGCCCTGTGCTGTTAAATAACAGCAAAGAAATATTTAAAATACCAGTTGGAAAAATAAACACTTAACAGGACGCTCACCTTGCAAGTTCATAAAAAAAACCCACCTTGCTAAAACAGATAGCTTAGATCTCTTTACTGCTGAGATATAGCTGCTAGATAGCAAAGGAGACAAAAAATTGACAGTATGTATCAAATCTGCTTTATAGAATTTAAAAGAAACCCAACCAAAACCACCACACCCTTACTATAACACCGTATTTAAAGATTAAACGAAAGCAACATTTCTCAGAACACCAAGCGCAGAGAAATCCTGAATTATAACGCTACTCGCCAAGGAAATGCAACATCTACATGAATACTTTTAATGAGACTTTATAACCATGCTTTACAAGAAGCCCACGCACCCTCTCTCACTGATACTGGCTCAATTCCTAATACCAAAGGTACTATTGAAAGTAAAAATCATGGTTTGAAGGTTACATAAAAATTTGTATCAGGAAGTGGCTGATCATGTATTACAATTTGGTTCCCAGTGCCATAAACTGCAGTACAGCATCAAAACTCTGACTGCAAGTGGCAGCTATTTAGAGAAGAACAAGCAAATTAGCAAGTGATAAGAATTAAAACTGTCAAAATTTCCTAGGTATTCAAATCATGTTACTCATAAATTTAAGCAACTACAAGGATATTCATTATGCAAATAAAATTATTTTATGCTAATAAAAGTTTAAAGTCACACCACTTATCTTTTGGAAGCAGTCTGACCTCTGATACATACAGACAACACATCTAATTTTAAGCTAATATTCTGCCAAGAGCAGAATTTTCTGTTTTCTCCCCCTCCTTAGAGTACTGTCAAATATAAAAATCATAAAGATTCACAAGCCTTACTGTAAAGTGCACTTACCGGTGCTGGATTATCTTTAGCTTCCACACCAAAAACATTCTGTCGTTTCACTGTCAGCAAATCAAGATCTTTAGTATCATCATCGTCGTCGTCATCTTCAAAGAACTGCATGGAGTCTGGGTTTGGTACCGTGTTCAGTACAGGAACTTCTTTTTCCTCCTCCTCTTCAGATATCTCTTTTGATTCATCCTCAGACTCACTATTCTCCTCAGCACCTTCACTGGAAGCAGAACATTCCTCGGTTTCTTTCTTTCTCTCCTTTTCCTTTGCTTTATTAACAGACACCTTTCCACTGAAATGAATTTCACGTTTCTCCACTCCTTCCCCATTTATCAAGGGGAGGGTATTTTTATTTTGCTCTGTCTCCTGCAAGTGATCTGTCCCATCAGCTGCCTCATTCATACGTAGCTGTTTTCGAACTTTTTGAAGAAATCTCACACGAGGTGCCATTGCAAGACCAAGTGATCTATAAGCATGGAATTAAACAAATAAATTAATCTGAAAAGCAGATACACAAAATTTTTACTAAATTAGAAACAGTCATCAATGGCTCAAGTGATTGGGTTGTGATAATTCATATTGATATACTCTGACCAACATATTTGCAAAACAGTATCTGGCCTACAACAGGACAACCTAGCTTGAAAAATGCAAGCGAACATTGGGAGAGGAAGGAAGGTGAAATAACTGAGGACTTTCAAGAACAGTTACAAGTCCTCCTAGGAAAGAAAACAAAGAAAATACACACATATGTCAAGCACTGAGAGAGCACTGAACTCTGTCAGTGTCCTTCACTGCTAGAAGTGCACCTGGAACATCACCCCCACCATCTCACAGTGATGGAGAGATTAGAAGAACATACACAGTATGGATACATGACCAACTGCAGAAAAAGCTAAGGAACAGACATTTCTCCCTTAAAGGAAATCTCACCTGCCTGCATCCCTCTACAAGGCTTTACCTTCATGGCATACGCAACTAGCGTGCCAACAATATTATTACTTTACTCAGTTATCCATGACAATTGAAAGTTATACTAATACTCTGTACATGAAGGGACAAACATTAGCCAAGAAGCAAAAATACAGTATAGCAACAATACTGGAGAGCATTTCATGGGAACAGGTACTCTGTCACCAACAGATCATTTGACTTCAGTTAAACTTTGTAATCACTCACTATTATTACACCTGACCCTGACAAATCCAAATTAGCCATATTTAAGTCTCTTTCAGAGCTCACGATCCTTCTTATTAGGTGAACAAAAGGGGGAGGGGGGCACAGCACTGTTACTGTGCAAGGAACACAAAGACAACAACTACATTTAAAAACACACAATACAGAGCTGCTAGTGGTTTTAATACTCAGGGCTTGTACATACACTTAAAGGAGTAAAGTATTTAACAACCATAATGGCTACATACATACACATGCATGCACACATAGAAAAGACCAGTCTCTTTTGATTCAGATTATGCACAGTTATACACCATCTCTCGTCCCAGTGCTGCTCGTTTTAAGGAGACAGCGTCATGTCTTCTATTCACCACACAGCTCTGAATAAAGAAACCTGAGTTATGCCACAGGAGAAAAATAAATCTACACTCCATGGTGGAAATGTCATTATAAACAGTCCATGAAGCATCCAAACGGTACAGCAGAGCAGTAAGAGTGGGTTGTAAGCCCTGCAGAGCCTTAAAGTATTAATGGTAGCCAATGGGACAGAGTAGTCAACAGGAGAGGCACCCTACTTAAAGTAACAAAAAAACAAACCCAAACACAACCACACCTGTGGCTAAACATCAAAAAAAAAAAAAAAAGCAGTCCACACTGTTAGGATGAGGAACAAGTTTTTCAATAACATCAGTCTTAAACAAAATTAACTTTCCATTAAAATTAAGTATTTCTGATAACCCAGTACTGTTGTTCTACAAGGAATTAACAGCAATGATAAAGTAAATAGTTTTATGAAAAAAAAAAGATCAAAGGAAGTTTTTATCCAGTGTATTTTGCACATTTACTGACACTGCACAGATGAGAGGGTAACACAACACATTTGGGAACTGCAACTACAGCAACCCACAATCTTGTTTCAGTGTTTGACAGCTAACAGTAATTACCTTTGCAATGAAAGGAAGTGTTAAAGTTTGTCCTGTTGACTAACTGAAACAAAAATAGCCAAACAAAGCAGATGTTACACTTCACTGCAGCAGGTGAAAGAGATTCAATCCTAGAATTGGTCTGTAACACCAGGCACAGTAACACACGTATAAAGACTGCTGCAACATCAATAAATGTGCAACCTCTTCAGCAAGGGGATCAAAGAAGAAAAAAAAAAAAAATCTGTTGCAAGAGAAACACTTTTTTACTTTTCCAGATTTCACAATATTATTCTATAAAGTATTGCTGTCAGGTGTTGACAAAGTACTTCAAGTAGTAGTATGAGAACTACGCGATCTGTTCACTTGTTTCTCATGCAGACAGACACAATGTACACAGGGTTGCAAACTCTGACTTTATCACAGCTTCTCTTCTGTGCTTCCAGACCTGGGATCAAAGATCAGGATCACAGCTGCAGGGGAAAGTTTGACAAGGTGAAGAAACTACTCTCTCCACAGGAAAAGTTAAAAAACAGTCAAGGAGAGCAGCCCATGATGTGGAGAAGACTTCACCACAGCTTTTCTCATTCAAATACAAAAATGCACCCACCAGATTGCTGTTCTGCACTGATGTTTACTTTAATAATTGCATCAAATTAATTATCAGTTAGTCTTGGCCCGTTTTTCTACACTGCTTAGCAACCCTACCAAAAAAGATCAGTGCTACCAGAATTCAGATGACATCTAAACAAGAAAAAAAAATACAGCCCTTCAACCTGGCGGATAAGGAAGGTGTTAAGGTCAAATTTGGAAAGGAAGTAACTAACTTAAACAAAGTTGTGTACAAACAATCCCCAAAGACTTTTGATTACTTAACTTCCCAAAGAAATGTCAGTATTTTAGCTTGTTACTTCCTCTTTCCATAGTATATTCCAAACGGAGAACAATTTGGGACAAACACATTTATAATACTGCTAAAAGTTTCCTCATCACATTTAACAATTTCTTTAGAATTTATTTCTTAATCATTTGCCAAATCCAGAGCACAGTTATACTAAAAAAACATGATTGTATGAACCAGCTTTTTTCTCCATCAATTAGAAAGGGCAATATTATTTTTGATTAATTCATTGGATGCCACTCAGACCACAGCCCTGCTCTGACTGAAGCTACAGCTATTCTTTGATTTTACTGCAAGCATTTCATGCACTCTTCTGGAATAAGAAACATGCAAGGTTTTCTCATAAAGACACACAAAACAGGTAAGGTTAGTGACATTTCATAAATTCTAACAATGAACACTATAAACATGCTAGCATCACAACGTAGTCCTCAGACAATGGTAGCCTTTAAATGGCAACACAAATTCAGATGACAAACCAAAAAACAATCCTCTAATATTTTGGTGTGAAATACAATGATTTCTTGGGAGCAAGCTCTTATAGAAAGAAATTTAAAATAAGTTAAAAGAGTAAAACTCAAAAAAAGAACACTGTATAGTTTTACAAAGAATACCACTTTCATTTGCCACTGAATAAGGAAAACCAAACATTACTAAACATCTTTTAAATTAATTCAAATGAATGGTGTATCAGACTTTAAATGCTGCCTTTTCTGAGATTTGTTAACTATGGTTATCCAAAGATCTTCAGCATGTTTACATTAACCTGGTAACTTCACTATGCTTCTATTTGGACTAGGTAAAAAACTGGGAATCTCTCAACTCTTTAAAAATAAGATCGAATCTTAGATACTCAGAGCAAAATCTGCACTTGCACGAAACAAATTATACAGAAAATTTAAGACTACTACAATCTTTTAATTTTTAAGTGTCATAAGTTCCTAATCTGTACCTAGATTTTCAGTCCTTTTTGAAATTTGAGCCAGTTGTAAAGAATATGATGCCACTTCCACAGAACTGCTGCACATTTTTACACAACATAGTGCTTCAGTCTAATATTAAGTTACTACATCTACTAAATAAGACACACTGCATTAGTGAACTTCTTCAGAGTGATTTGAACACATAAAAACATAGCACAGTGATTTTTTTTTTACTGTAGAACAGGTTCAAACAAAGATTTAAATAGCCTGAAAAAGGTTAAATACTCCCAGAAACTATTTCAAGAGAAGAAATGTGTATTACTTGCCTTGCAATATGCACTACATCTACATTTAACATTTCGAATGTTTTCAGAAGACAGGATGAGCAACCATTTGAAAACAGGAGAAATCAAATCAACTGAGGTGACACAAATCTGAATTAACAGACTTTCCAGATGGTCTGATTAGTAACAAAAATGAACAGAGAAATTACTTTCGCTGTGTTATTTATTTTACTAGCCAGCTTTATCCCCATACTTTAAGGAGCTCAAATGCATGATACTCTACTAAGGAGGGCCAAGCTAGTCAAGAGTTTATGGGTCAGGATTAAAGAGAAGACCAACAAAGAGCATGTCATCGTTAGAATCCAATCACTTAGATGTAGCCTTGTTTACAGAAGTAAAAGCAGCCTCCACGTTGCAGTTGCAGGCCCTGATGCTCTTGATACCTGAGCCACCCTGTCACCCACTCAAAGGGCCGCACAGTAACCCACAAGCAATTGAGATTTCTGGAGTGCATTAAGGATCAATTCTCCAATTTAGCTTGATTAGCCAGCTCTGAGAGGCATTCTACAGGAACGGCTACTCATGTATATGCAAGTGCATTTAGTTCTAAGCTGAGTGAAGGTCAGTAGCAGGCTTACTGCAAAATGAGAAAATGTAGTTCAAGATCCTACAAGAAACAGTATCTATTCAGATATCTATATGTCAGGATCTGATGGCTCAGAAGTTTACAGAAAGCTCATGAAGGGATGGCTGGATCTCTAGGTGGTTGAAGGGGATTTATATGAGAAATGCCCAAACTCTACAGATCACTGGAGGGAATACTGAGGTCCATATGAGTAATACCATATGAGGCTGAGATTAACTAGGTAACATCATGAGAAATACCAAGTCTGGATATAGGTGTACAAAGACTGCAAACAGGGAAAAAGTAATCAGGGGTGGACTTTTTAGTTGGAAGGAGATTAGGGCATAGAAAGGGAGGTACAAGGGCAGCAAGAAGGAGGGCCATGAACCAGCAAAGGGATGATGAGATGTGCAAAGCCTGTGATGGGCACTGCCTGAGGTACACAACGGGCAGCTCTGCACTTGCTCGTGGCAGCAGGAGCCAGATAAACAAAACTCTCTCTCCTGACCATACAGTATGGGTCAGACCAACATCCACAGCCAGAGGGACTGGGGTGAGAGTGCAGTGGGTGCTTCCCTGGTCAGTGAGAGATGGATCATGTACCCTGGTACCAGCCATTTCAGACCTGACAGCACCTGCAGCTACCTAGTGCTTTTTAGCACTGATCTGTAAGCACTACTTGCAAAATTAGCTGGTACAAAGTTGTGTGTATCAGACATTTCCCAAATAACACAGCTTCAATTTATTTATTCTCTATGTACCAATAGAGGGATACAGAGAAAAATATGCTGCATTCCTCCTAGAAGACATGACAAACTTCACAGAGGAAATTACCTCCCTTGGCAGCCCCTCAGAGCTGTGACTAGCCTGTCCATCCAGCACACTCACCTGTTAAGATCTGCCACTGGAGGCTCATATATATATATATATATATATATATATATATATATATATATATACACACACACACATATATATATATATATATATACACACACACACACACACGTTAGCATTCAACAAAATAAAATGCCTGAGAACTAAAGTATTTCAAATCCCTTCCTCCTCTTTACCTTGTCTCCTTATCCAGGAGACCAGACAAACTGATTATTCCTTTCCACCCTGTTCTTTGTTTATGTTTTCTTATGTTTTCAAAGCTGTCCTTCGCAATGAAAAGATAAATTTCTCTTTTATGCAAGCATCGAGTTTTTCCTTTGCCAAACTTAAAGGCTGCCTATGTTCACACAAGGCCTGTGCAAGTCTTCCTCCAGCAAATTATTCTTGATAGCAATTTGTAATGAGAGGGTACTGGAGAGAATACTAATGTACCATAGCTTAAAGGTGATCAATCTCTAGAATACATATGTGTGTGTCTATAGACATGCACACACATACTTTTTTTAATGTATTGTTTTCTAGATATATAACAATTTTATATGATATATAAAGAATTTTATATAATATATAAATATGTAAAGACTACTGCTTTTCTGCACACTCAATCAACAGAGTTTAAAAGAATCTTAGTGCACAAACATGCCAGGCAAGAGAGCAATGAAGAAAGTGGGCAACAGCCTGACAGACATACACAAACCCGAAAGGGGCACTGAGCAGCCTATTTTGTCTGCAGGATTTCTAGTGGAGTAACAGCTATCAAGCTTAGCAGTAAATCTCCACAGAAAGGCTGAAATACTTTCAGAGAATACACACAGAAGGTAAAGGGAAGAAAGGATTCTCATTCCAGGTTTTGCCAGGAGTTTGTGTGCAGAACGTAAACCAAGGTTGCTTCTGAATGCAGAATACAAACATACCAGACTTTGAGGGCCTTTCAGATAAATTAAGCTGACTGATCCACTGTTATCAGTGGATGTGCACTGAATTGAAAGCCAGGGAACTGTGGGGTGTATTTAGGGAGACTAGCAGTTGAGAGAGTGGGGAAGGAGAGTGCCAACAGACTGCTGATTTAAAGCAGGATCTCCAAATTATCTCCTAGATTTATTATCTTCTGACTTTTTGATTATACTTCTATATATTTCAGTCTTGACTAAACCTCTCCTACTCTCTCCAAACAACTGTCTGCTTTCGTCTATTTTAATACAGGAATGACTTATTAGTAACTTTACAAAACTGGGATTAGAACTGACTTTGATGAAGGACCAAATCCTGGCATAGAGGCCTGAGAACAGAACTGTAGACTATTCTGTCTACATCAGTATCAGATACTAGATGGCACACCGTGTTGAAATCCATAAAGAGGCACTGGGATTCTGAAAATTCAGCATTATCAACATCTGTCAGTTGGCTTCTTAACACACTGGTTAAATTTGGGTGGTCATCCCTCTTAGTACAAATCTTCCGCCACTATCCCTTACATTCAGTAGAGTAAAACCTACAATAAGGTTTTAAAGATGCTTTCTTAAGTACCTTAAAAAACATAGCCATGTTAATTACAGCACACCACAGGAAGACCAGGTGTTCTACAGTCTAGTGATCTGTCATATCTTAGTTCATTATGCCATGTGCTGACAAGTTTGAAGACTTAAGTCTTCTCTGTACGAAATTTCAGAGACACAAAATTAATTTAGCATTCATCTTTGCACACCTTCCTGCTCCCTTCTGACTACCCTATGTCCCATGAGATTATTCAAAAACTTCATGTCTTAAAACAATCTCAGATGGTTGTCATCTGTAAAGTCAACCTGTCAAAATTAATTTCCCTCCCATACAAAATGTGGAATGGTTCACGTATATGTACAAAAACAGACATAATAAAATAGATGCTATTCAGTCCAGTGCAGATGTTTCATCTTTACCAAGTGCATTGAATCTTCTGAAAAGTAATTTATGTCCAAGAAGCAATGTCCCAATAACACTCAAAATGCAGCTACAATATATCATCTTCAGATACTCCAGTTTCTTTTTAAATAATACACTCTACAAGTTGGCATTTAGCTATGAGGCTGAAAGGTGAATCTGAAAAAAATAAAACTCAATACCTATTGTTCTCTATACTTTGACTTAAGTTTTGTCTTCTATTGTATATAGCAAATGTACTTCTACTGCAAGAGTTATTTCTCTCTGTAGAGATATATTGGTTTTACACATAACTACTATGTAGAATGTCCTTGAAAATGTGCAAAAGCACAACATAAATGTGAAACTGTAAATACAAGACTGTCCAGTTCTGGGCGTTAATATAATCAAAACAGCTATTTAAAGCTATCATACTCTGCAAAACTTCTCACTATACAGTTTTCACTTTGCAAGCTGAACATACTTACAGGGCATATTCTGCTAGAGGCAATTTGAAAACATCAAATACTTCCTTATTCTTCATTAAGTAAACTGAACGCAAGTAGGACACAAAACACTGAAAGAAAAAGAAAAGTGTTTTAACAAAAAAAAGAATTCAGTTTCTAACACCTGAAACCACCATTATACTGTTTCTCTAAACATAAAATAGAATTTCACTATTAAGTGGTCTAACATTGATTTCACTTTTACACAATACCCATCAGCCAAAATTTATCAATGCTACAGAAGTGATGCATCTTCAAGTATTCAAATATTTCATTAAATGCACATTAATTGGCTGAATTTCTCAAAGGTATGTCATGTTATTTTCCCCAGGAATAAAATATGGCAAATTAGTCAGAAGGAAACATCACCAATGCTTTTTTTTTTTTTTTTCTCCCAGCTTTTCTGAATGTCATTATGCTATTCTGATAACCAAATTATGTGGAAGCAAGAACAGTCTGCATTGCTATCAATCTGAGGTTTTCTGCCTTAATCTTAGCTACTAACTGAAAGTGGTTCAACTCAACATAGCTGCCTTTCACTGTGGCTTAAGATAATTCATATTACCTTGCATTTGTCATCAGCTCATCATATACACACAGTCAACAAATGCAACTCAGCTGACCAACATAAATTCACTATACAACATCTACTAAGACCAGCCCAAGGTTGAAGAGTCAACTAATCCCAGACTTTCACCAAGAACACTGGAAGCACTGCATTAACAGAAAAACTTAATCTTGTGTTGCATTTTCCCATCCCAAAAGGAAGACTCTTATTCTTCTCAGGTTTCTTTTACACAGTCTACTTCTGCCTATTAGCAGCATCATAAATACTAGAATTATTTTAAGTATCAGAAAAGCTCCTTGGATTTCTATTGTTCGTAATCTCATTTCTAATACATGCCAAAGCTCCTACCACAAGACTTAAACTAGCAAACACTAGTAACAACAGCAAATTAAGCTCATATATTCAAGCATACTATAATCACACCCTTGTTCTGCTGTGGAGGAAACAGTGTAGTAATAATTCATGTATAATTTTTTTCAAAAAATTTAAAAAACATTTCTTTTTAACCTGAGACAGAGGAGTAAAAGACCCAAGAGTTAGGAGCATCCATCTCTTGTGGGGAGATTCCTTAAATGCTTGTAAGAGAAAAAACATTTCCAAAGGTGAAAAGAAAGATGAGACAGTAAATTAAGCAATGTCATAAAGTCATACTTTTCCCCTTGGCAAATTGAAATAAAAACTATTAATTGTAAGATATGTAGAGCTAAGATATGCTGCCCAACACTTCGTTATAGAAATAAATTTCCATTACTTATTTTTCCAAGTGCTGAGCTTTTGGTGTGGTGGTGCAACCCCCCCACACTTAATGGACAGACACCACTGCAGTGTCCCAGTATCCCCTACACAGTAACACTGAAACTATCAAGAAAAACACATTATTTTTTAATCTGCTTTTCAGAACTGGATGAATTGACTATTAATATTACAAGAAATGCCAAAAGGCAGCATCAGTCCATGAGAGGAACTGCAAAGGTTTCAAAGGAGCCCAAATCTGATTCACGCTCTTTTCAAGCAACAGCAGAGGAACCATGTCCTTTCAAATGATCCATGAAGTTTGCTGAAGCAATCGGTAATCAAGAATTTTCTTTCTTCCTTTTTTTTTTTTTTTTTTTTAAAACAAAGTAAAAGCATCTTGAAGTAAATCAACAAGCTTAGAGGACACAATCACTTAGACCTCATGTCCTCAACACAGTAAACTACATCCTACCTGAACTTCTGCACATAGTTGTGCTGTTTCATTGCTATTGAATCCATTCAGGTAGGGAATTTATTTCTTACAAACGTCAAGAATTTGACAGCTTGCAACAGACAGGCTAGACAGCACAACATTTGTTTCTTTAAGAAATCCAGCATTCAGGATTTCATTTGCATTACTTTTATTGTTTTATTCACATTGAGATGTAAGACTACTGGGCCACATTTGCATAGTATGCCTGAACAATCTTATTAAGGAGGGACACTTCTATGATAAACCACTTGTCCATACTTCAAGATTTTCAAAAACTGAATGCATATAGAGTTTGTCTACAAGATGACACTGCACTGCTACAAATAAATAAAAAATTGCCATAAAAATGGCTTGAAAGGGTAACTAAATGCAACTAAAAATTTTTCAAAATTTTTATCTGTAACACTGACAGCTCATGTTTGATTTTATTCTTGTGCTATTTTGAAACTTTATCCTTTTTTTCACCCAATTCAGAAGGATCTTTCTCTGCCTTTTAAGAGATATTAAAAAGCCAAAGCCAGAAGAAACAGAGAGGTTTGTTAGTATTTTCATTCCAAGTAAATGATGCTAGCTTCCTCCTACTCTCATCCTCCCCCAACCAGCTGCTCTGTCATTTCTGATACAAATTGGTGTAACTGCAACTTCCTGTGGTAGTTGCAGATGATCTTAATATGTCAGCAGTACATCTGGCCTGTGCAACATTAGGATGAAGCTTATACTGACATTCCACATGCTACAAGTAATACTTTGTGCACTACAAAAACCTGGGATACTTAAATGCCAAAAACAGTTTTAAGAGCTGTCCCTTGAACATTGCCTTAAACATTTTATTCACAAAGCTTTCACTGACTTCCTCAGGCACTTTGATCTAAGGCTCCTTGTTTAGGAAAGTAAGAATAACATACCTCTGACCCAGTGTCTCTACTGCAGGTATCCAAGCTAGGTCACGTCACACAGGCTACCTTTGCAGTCTAAAGAAACTGCCATTCATCCATTTCAAAGGGTTTTAAAAGTATCTATGCCAGGATACATCCCAGATGTGCCTATTCCTCTCTATCAACTATAAATGAAAGCTCAGACAGATTGGCTCACATAGGACGTATAAATTTAGGCGAGATGAACCTCAACCTGAGTTTTAAATATTGCGACTTGCCTCATTTTACATCCCACTTCAAGAGAAAGGCTACAACTCAATCTTTCTTAAAGCATTCATGATCCCCTTTGCATTCTACTCTACCACTCAGGTTTACCAGAATATCTTCAGGTGTAATCAATCCCCACACTAGCTCAAACAAATAAAAAGTTATTTACACTAATCCAGAATTTCTGCAATCTTGTATTTCTCAGGATTTTGCATTTCTGGATTTCTGATCATTTGGCCTTGGTAGTACTCTTTAAATTTCACACACACACACATATATTTAAAAAACAAAAAAAAATGAACCAAAATATTTTCTTATTATTCTTTCAACCATCTTGATTCCCTGCCTCTCAGTTTCAACTCCTGATTTTGCATGGTTTGGAAGACACTTGGTACAACTACAGAATTCATAGGCTCATGATATCCACAGTTTAAAAACCAACCAACCAACCTCAGAAAACCAACACATTGCAGCACTTCAATAACACAAGTAGTAAGCTCTATCCAAAACTAAAAATATTATTAAACCAGTGAAAGATCAGCAAACATGTCTAGTCATGGCAAGAGACAGCGCAATGCCCAGAAATGTTTCACAGGCCATCTTCCATGGAAGGTGTCTTTTACAACAAGCTCAGTCTAGTCTAGGAACTTTCATACTTATTTTAAGTTTTCCAACCTTCCCCAAACTGCTAAATCTTGGTGAAATTCATGTATTATTCATGAAGTCTCCTAACATTAGACAGCACAGCAAAGAAATTTCATTCATAGCCCTATTTACACACTTCTCCATCTTACCCGGAAGAGAGCTGTTCTAAGCTGTTTTGCTTCTCTTTTAAGTACAAGTTAAAGTTAAAATTATTTACTCAATACATTTGATTATACCACTGAGAAAGGACAAACTGTCATATATATTCAGGAGACACAAGAAAATGGGCATGTGAGGCCTACATTGTTTCCTATATTCCTTTTTGCGCCAAGGAATTAAATCTGCTACTTTTCTGTAACCTTTCTTATTATTTTTTTAAAATGTTCTATTTCAGCTCCCCAAGAAAAGTCCTCTCAGAATTACCAATTCACTTATTGCCTTCGATCAAAAGGGTTACTGAACTGAAAAGGGTACAGAGTCCTATTCTTCATTGTACTAAGGATACATGATGGAAAAAAGATATATTTGTACTGATTCAACAGCTTTAGGCTTTACTGAATCACAGAACAGCTGAAGTCAAAAGGAACCTCCAGAGATCATCTAGTCCAAACCCCTCCTCAAAGCAAGGTCAGCTAGAGCAGGCTGCTCAAGAATGCATCCAGTTTTTAATATCCAATAACGAAGACTTCACAGCCTCTCTGTGCACTGCTAATGTTCAACCACCCTCATAATAAAAGCTTTTTTTCTTGGGTTTAAATGGAGTTTTTTGTATATAAATCTGTGCCTATTTCTGTCACTGGGCACCACTCAGAAGACTCTGGCTCCATCTAATTTATACTTCTCTCCTGATATATGAGATTCTCCAAGTGCTAAGTCATCTCTGTGGTTCTTCACTGGTCTTGCCTCCAGTATGACCATGTCTTTCTTGCACTGGAAGCCCAGAATCAAGGTTTGCACTCCAGATGCGTTTCACCAGGGATAAAGTACAGGAAAAGGGCAGAGCCACCTCCCCTGACCTACCAGCAACACTTTGCATAATGCTGCCCAGAATCATAAAATTACAGAAATGGTTTGGGCTGGAAGAGACCTTAAAGATAACCTAGTTCCAACTCCCCTGCTACGGACAGGGATATCTTCCACTAGATCAGGTTGCTCAAAGCCCCGTCCATCCTGGCCTTGAACACTGCCAGGGAGGGGGCAGCCACAGCTTCTCTGGGCAACCTGTTCCAGTGCATCACCACCCTCACAGTAAAGAATTACTTCCTTGCATCTAATCTAAATCTATCTTCTTTCAGTGTAAAACCATTACCCCACGTCCTATCACTACACTCCCTAATAAAGAGTCCCTCCCCATCTTTCCTGTAGTCCCCTTTGGGTACTGGAAGGACACTATAAGGTCTCCCCAGAGCTTTCTCTTCTCCAGGCTAAACAACCGCAACTCTCTCAGCCTGTCCTCCTATGGGAGGTGTGAGGCCCCTGATCATCTTTGTGGCCCCTTCAGCCCCCTGATCATCTTCATGGTATTTCTCTGGACTTGCTTGAGCAAGTCCATGTCCTTCTTATGCTAGGGATCCCAGAGAATGTGGCTGGCCTTCTGCTGTAAAGGCATATTGTTGGCTCATGTTCAGCCTGTTATCTACTACCTCCTTTTCTGCAAAGTTGCTTTCCAGCCTTCTGGTCCCAGCCTGTATGGGGCTTCACTTCCCCAGATTCAGGTGTCAAACAGCTAGAAAAGACTCCAACAAAATAATAAAAATGTTCAAACAGCTGAGAAGCAGCACCTACTAAATAAAAAATTACTTTCATACCCAAGACTGTAAAATAAGTATGTCCTCACCTATGCCCTAACTTTGGCACAAAAGCAGTAGGTTAAGTGGCTCTTCAGGTATTAGTGTCATGAGCCCATGTCAAGCCCATGTCAACTCAGACAGGCTATACAGGCATACTTACCACCAACTGCTAATACATGATTATTGTTTCTACTGATGCCATGTTTTAAAGCTTAAAATCAGCAGTTCCAAACACTGCTGCTAGGGCATATATGAACAGGTCAGTTATCTCAACAGCAGCTCTATTCAACAAGAATGTCTCAAGAACCATATAGTACAGCAGATGACTTACTCTTTGAGCCTTGTCTTTTAACTCCTGATCCTGAGCTAAGAAAGCTTGCATCCTCTTTTGGATGTCTGTAAGTTTTTCAGGATTAATTCTGATTTAAAAAAAAAAAAGAAGAAAGTTAGCTTTAATTATTGGAACATGCAAAAACAAGCACCTATTAAATTCTCAGGAGTATATCCACATCTTTTGCATTGCTTTAATATGCATAAACTTATTACTGCTCTGAAACAGCTTAGAATAGAACCGTATTAAGGATGAAGCATACACTACTCAAACAAATAATACAGAAAAGACAAAAGGGAGCTCAGACTTTTTATCCAGAGAGTTTTCGGTGAAGATGGTGAAACTTCTTCCAGAGCAAAGCCAAAATCAGCAGTAAAGAACTTCTTGAATTTTTAAAAATGCTGAGAAAAAAAATACATAAAAAGCACTATGAGTTATAATGCCACTTTATACCGAGAGAGCAGTCTTCGTAAGGAAATTATCAGCCTTTTCGAAAGCTTAAATAAGATCCATTGCCTTGGGAATACTGAAATTTAAGTACTTCTTTCTTACACACAGATGAGCAAAAATAAAGGACATTGAGATTAAACAGATTTAAGAGCTTCTCAAGATATTGATCAGGTGAATAAAGAACAGTGACTGCACTATAGAAAATGCCATTAACACTAGTAAGAAGGTACATAAGTCCTCTCTCAGACTCTGGATTTTTACACTTATTCTAGTGATAACTACACTATTCCAGGTTTATTTGCCCAGATCTTTTCTTATCTACTTCTGGTTTTGATCTGCTAATGCCCCCAAGTGTATCATGACCTACCAAACATGGCAGGAGATTACCCCCTCAAGTAGAGGTCAAAAGAGATGAACAACTACCAGATTTCTTAATCTGGTTCTTGCTGCTGTGTGCCATGTCATCCCATACACATACAACAAAACAAGCCTTTGTTGAAGGAAGTCAGGAAAAAAAAAAAAAAAATCAAAATCATGCTTCCTCACACAGCAGTAAGCCAGTCTAAAAACCATGGCTCTGATTAAAATACTAGGCAAGAAACACTTGATAGTCATTTTTTGTAACATAAGCCATTATGATCATCTGTTATTCTTAGTGAATATGAAAGCAGCAATAAAGCAAGGGGCTGGATGGTATTACCAAAGAATACTTCAATTTATAAAGACATCAATCTTTATTCCTTCACCCTTTCGATTTCTTATCTCTGTCACATACAGCCAGTGGAAAACTGTAGCGCACACCAGAGCTGTTCAGCTACAGTTTTAGTGAAAGATCAAAAAGCCGAGTTCAGTTTCAAGATAGCACATAATTTGCTCTGAAGTGTAAAGACATAAGAAAGAAGAGGCAAGAAAAATTTAGTGGGGGACAAACTGACCAATGAGCCTTTGAAATGCAATGCAGGATGGAATGACCACAAGATACCAAAGATAGAAAAAGTAAACAGAATATCTGTGAGATTTTACTCCATAAAACAAGACTGAGAAGGTGAGAGTGAAAATATTTATGATCCTAAGAAAGGAAAAATGATAGAATAGCAAGAGAAAAGCAGTGGCTTTTATTTAATTGTATTATAAGGTACAAACACAAAGTATACAGCCTCACTGCAGTGAAAAGGCTAGATTAAATCAACTTGTTTTCAGATCACTGAAACTCAAGAAGAAAGCTTTAAATAGAACTGAAGTATAAAAATAGCACAAGTACACCGGGATAAAATAAGAATTACAAGCACAAAATGAGATACAAAAAAGTAAAGAAGGTATAGCATGAATAACAACAACAAAAAACTAACATGAACACTAGCAGTAAGACAGCCCAGAGAACTGTTGGATTGCTGTTAAGTTATGGGAAAGCTATTAAGAGATGACCTCAAGGCACTTAAATGAGCCAGTGTCTTTTTTGCCTTGTCTTCACTCAAAGTGACAGTTGCAATCAGACAGCTAACAACATCGACAGCACAATCCAACCTCACACCAGAATAGCAAATCACAGGATAACAGGTACTTCGATAAATCAGCTGGGTCAAAAGAAATTTGCTCCATAGCAACTAGAGAGAAAGTCAAAGCACTTTGAGTCATAGTTGTACCTATTCTTGAGAACTCTTCTGAGATAAATAAAAATCTGAGACAGGGCAGGTAAACATACCGCTCATCTTTGAAGGGGGCAAAAAAAAGAGAAGTTAAATGACAAACTTTTTTCTTGATACCAAAAAAACAATTTGTAAGCACCTAAAGAAAATGAGCAAACACACAATGGCCAAGACAGTTTAATCAGGAGCAAAACATGACTAATCAAAGTTTGATTATCTGCCACTGCAGCATTAGCATGCTTTAAGAATAGGAGAGAAATAGCAGATGTTGTATTTGATGTCAGCAAAGCATCTGGCAGTTGCACATTGTCACAAGCTATGGAAATATGGTCTACACAAAAATCTTTAAGTAAATGCAAAACTGGCCTTGCAGCTGTACTCAAAGAGTAGCTGGGATTGTCAGCTACTCACCACTGTCACTGTCAAACTCAAAATACATGCCAAGTGCTAATTCCCACCTGGGACTCCTATTACTCATTATTTTCTGTGGCTTTATTATTGTAGAAATCTGATTATTTATAGGAGACAATATGTCATTGGGGCTCCAAGCACAATGGACCGTTACCTTAGACAAGATGTAACAAAATTTTATTGATGGCAGATATATTTTTGTTTGAGCAATTTGGTTGAAATTTGCAAGAAAAGGGTTTGAAAAAGACAGAACACACAAGATACTTTACAGTTGAAAGCATGGCAAGATAATGTAATGTAAATATAAGCAATGTCAACCAAGAATTTGGTGCTCCCAGCACATTTTGAGGTTCTGTGTTAATGAATGAGTAAATTTGCAACACTGAATATTACAAAAAGAGTCATAATACTGGATTCTCTCCTCTCCAGCACTGTATCATGACAACCGCCCACTGCCATCTTCATCTCATGCCGGGATTCCAAATATAAGAAAGCTGGTCATTGTTAAATTGGATTTTGCTTTTATTGAGTTATTTCTTTCTAAGCAAATAAAACTCTTTACAGTAATTATATACATGTGACTATTCAGCAAGAGAGACAAACCTAAAATCCAAACACTTAAATGAATTATCATAATTTATAAGCTTGCCTAAACAGCTAAGAACCAGTGAGCTAGAACCAATTATGCAAAGACTAGAAAGGAATTTTATTATATTGTCTGTCATTTTAAATAGGCTGTTTCTTTCTTTACTTTCTCTGTGAGTACAAATTTTGTATTTTGTATATTGCAATGTAACTTTGAGACTGTTGTTTTGCCTAGCAGTTGCATAAATGGCCACACTTGACTGTGCCATGATATAAATATGAACTCAGCTTGCTTGGTCTTATGAACTGATCAGACAGCACTCTCCAAATTTCCTCATCGATACTTTTTCCCTTGTTTTTAACACAAGGATACAAACACTGCTTTAACTAGATACCCTCTCTTCCCCATATTCTCCAAAGTGGAATTTAAACAAAAAAGCTCAACAACCACCAAAAGGACCATGCTGCATGATGCAGCAAATGTTTCCCTATTCCACCTAGCTTTCAAGCAGCAGCAGGTTTTGCTCTGTGCTTTCAGTCTGGAACGTGGCTCCCTATGGTAACAGATGACAACCTGGAAGGCTGGAGAGAGGAGGAAGAGCTGGGATCAAAAGAAGGCTGCTCAGAGTTGCCAGCCTCACACCAGCAGGTCACGCACAGGCGCATAACCACACTGGTTAGTGCCACCAATGAACTGTCCCACAGTAATGACGGTAATTGAGAGGCAGCAAGTTTTAACAGATTCCCTAGTACTAATATTACTGTCATATGAAATACACACCCAAGCATTCTCCACTGTCAGAAAAAAAAAAAGTGTTTTGTTGTTGTTGTTTTCTTCAAGAACCACATTTTTGTCATAATATTAAAGAAAGCATTACATTGGGAGTATCTATATACTTGCACTTCCTTTGGTAAAATTTTCTAGACACAAAATTTATTATGATAACCCTTTAGGAAGCAGCTCTTATCTTATTACTCAACAAAATTGGATGCCATGAAGTAGTGTCAATAGTAGTGTTATTTTTATCAAAAATAATTTTAGTTTACAGCTTGTATCTAAAACTCTGAAATTATAGACTCCTTATAAATACATACATAATATTTAATACTTTCAGAGTAGCTTTTTGCCAATTTGAATGCTCTAAAATATATTTATTATTGCATATTTTGCATTTTCTCTTGCTCTGTTCAATGAAAAACAGATGTACTGTTAAAAGCACTACCTGTAAATTCACAGCTTGTGCTGTTTCAAAAGGAATAGCATACTAACAGGCTCTACAGGCAGCTTGGATTTAAAATTGAAAACTAACAAAACAGCCCAAACCCTAGCCTTTTGAGTAGGTATTCAGGAAAAAAAAAAAAAAAGTTCTTCCCCTCTGTTTTCAAATTATGGGATCTGTTTTAAAAGCTACGTCTAAATGAAATAAAGAAATATTAAAAGCCGTTTGTAAGTGAGAAAACACAAAACAAGGAAAGTAAGAGAAAATTGGTTCTTGTGATCCCTAGACAAAACAACAGCTTAGCAAGAACAGCAAAACAAATTTTTTTAGAAACAAAAAGCTTTTAGAATGAATATCAGAAGTTTAAAGAGTTAAACTGTGTTGGCAGTGAACAACACTCATTACCTTCTAACCCACAAGTTAAATCTATTCTTGAGAATCTATAATTAGGTAAATATGCTCAAGCACCACCAGAAGACTTCAACGGAAAACCTGGAACATGATCCATGGGTTGATAGAACTTCTTCAACAATTTGTCAACTGCCAAAACACACCAGGGTTGTATTAACTAGAAAACTGGCTAGAAGTAAACAACCTAATGAAGTTAAAAACTTTTAGGATTGAACTGGTTTGCAATCCACAAGTATTTACAAGATTTCTTCTTTAATGATTTCGGTTGGCCTCTTAGAATTACAATTCTAACCCATGTAAACCTTAACCACACTAAGTAGACAACTTCTAAGCAAAAGCATTCCCTCTCATTAAGATGTTACAAAATATCACAAGGTACATTTTGCACATTGAAAAACTGGACCTTGGGGCAGGTTGTTAAAATAGATTATCAATCAAAAGCCCTGACTTTGCTTGTAATGCCTCCAGTTAAGATGTTATCTAAATGTATTTATTATGTATATGTGGTAAACGTGGCTTGGTAAAAGAATGAATTTTTGTGGTGGTGTTTAAAATAAAACCCAAAACTTACTTTAATACATCCTATTATTGAATTTACAACAGAAAAAAACTAATGAAAAGATTCTCATTTAGTAGATTTTAATAACGGCAAGTCCCAAAGTATGTGTTCACTTTATTTCTTAATTTATGTATTGACATAAATGCATATGGAAAGTGTAATAAACAACAGATAAATGTCTAAGTAGTCGCTGGTTTTTACCATCTTTCACTACACTAGAATTCAAAGAATGTAGTATAGTTAATTTTGAGCAGACCTGGAAGTTTAAGCAAGGAGGTAGTAATAACCACTTAAACTTTCACCCTATTCTGATTTCTTCTCAAAAACAACTTCCACAAACACTTCCAGCTTACAGTTAATTATCTTCCTTTCTTAGATATCTATATCTTCACCTTCAAAACACAGCTGTCCAAAGTAAAATAGTCCTAGCCTTGCTCATATCCACTTGTACAGAAACTTAATTTTCTACCTTGTCATGCTTCTTTGAATTTCTTCTAGCTCCAGTCTATGATCTTTAGCATGGTGTAACCCGAACTATATAAGTATTCAAAACGAAGTCAGGTTCATACGGTATTTTCTGGCTTGCTTTCACTTCTGTATTTCCTTCACACTCTGCTTCCTCTTTTGATTTAGCATTATACTGGCAGGCTCAAACAATGAACTCCTTCCTACCTCTAGTTGCTAATTAAGAATTTACCACTGATGTTTTTTGTGGTATTATTTTTTACAGCTAGGGTTACACGTCCATTACTCTGCGTTTAATAGAAATTGGAAATACAAGTGCTTTTTTTTATTTTTACATGGTATCATTATATGCTTCTGCAGCTCTTTCAAAGTCAGTTCTCTTTTGCACAGATAGCACAGATTCTACAGGTCTCCATCGGAATACTTTTTCTAGCACATAAAATGAATATTTAGCCACATCTTATTTCTTGTTCTTCAACTAACTGATTCAGAAAGATCATGACAAATTGGAGAAATAGTCTAAAGAAAAGACAGGTAAGAGAAACAAGAATCGTAAAAGGTATAAAAACATACAAGGACAGATTAAAGAAATTGCAATTGTTTAATCTGCAAAACAAAAGAAAAGAGATACCGTGATAACGTTCCATTATATAAAAAGTAATTGCAAAGACTAAAAAGTATTTCACTTTACTTACAAGACTTATCAGACACTGGAAGAAAAAAACCTAAATGGAAGGAACTGATAATTGATCAATAGATGAGATCACTTCAGGAAATTGTGAAGATATTCACTGGCAAGTTACACAAGCATCTGATAAGAATGATTTGTGCAGCTGATCCGGCCTTTGGGAAAGTGGATGGAATAGGTAATCTCTCAATGTCTTTTCCTTCTATAACACTATCAAAATCTCCCTTGTTTGTCCAGCTCCAGGCAATTCAAGCATTTTACTCCATCAGGATTGTCACAGACTCATCACACATTATTCCTGTATAAAGAAGGCTCAGTAACAGACAAGCCACTAGTCACTTACTTGATTTCACTGACAGGTACCTTCCTCTGTGCCAGCTGTTCCACCATGCCTTTTTCTTCTGAGGGAAGCAATACTAACAAAGCTTCACCACCTTCTTTGTATCTGATCAGGGAAAAAGACATAAGAGAGAGATCTCAAGAAAACATGCAAAACATAAAATTTTTTGTTGATGTTTTCAATAACCGAGGAGAATTTACATATAATTCCTTATAAGCAGCCAAAGAGCAGACCAAAATCCTCACTTCACAAGAGGAAAAGACAAACCAGTTAAGTGACTTACCAGTATCTCCACATGAGCTGATTTCAAAACTACACCTAGAGCCCTAAACATCTGAGACTAAGATATAGATTCCGATCAGTCAATCTCTTACTCCCAGGATTAGAAATATTTCTGTAGTAACCATGTGGCACTTGATCAAAGCTTAAAATACTAGAAGATATAGACACTTACATTCATCCTTTACCAATAGGTAAGTCTTAACACCTGGTAACAACTGATTCTCCTTTGCACATCCTGCAAGTGAAAGAAGGTAAAGGCTAGGAAAGGATAATTGCCTTTATTCCAAACAACTCCTACTTGTATGTTCAATAAAGACTACTACTTTTCTAACAGGTCACACAGGCATCACTGAAAGAAAAGGAGTTCTTTCATTTATAAAAGCAGTTTTTAGGTGCAAAACTAAAACTAAAAATACAATCAGACTGATCCCATATAAGAATGTATCTAGTATTCACTCTTCAATGCACTTAACAGTTCTATCAAATGTAGCTGACTTGGTAATTACTCAAAATGCATGGTTGGCAAAGAAACAAAAATTCTTCTGTTTTATTCTTAAAGCTTCTTTGTGTTCACTTTCTTTTTGTGTAAGAAAATGTCAGTTCCTACTTTCAGCAAATTTAGCAACTTGAGGACATTCATGGAGAAAAAAAGTACTCAACAGCATTAGTAAACAAATAAGACAATGGGTTTAAGTCCTACTGACAAAGCAGTAATGATGAGTTAGTTTATCTGCATCACCTAAGTCCATATCTATTGTAACACGTATATCACTTCTTTGTTTACATTTATAAATAGTTCTTAAGAATACATGTTAATAAGAAAATATTGCATAGGGTCCTCCATTATATAAAAAACACCAATTGAACTAAATTTTGGAAATATGACAAAATTGGACCAAATCCAACTCACAGTCAACTGATAAGAGCAATGTGTGGGACAAAACAAGATACGAGAGTGGTAAGTTACTGTGTAGAGCAGCTCAAACTGCCAACAGCTACTCACAGGGAAGTCCCTAGGCAGCAGCAGATTGTAAGCCTACACATAAAGTGCTGAGACTACGAGTATTCCACTTAGTTGAAACAGAAAATACTTATTGTCTTATTTTTCAGGTGACATTTCATATCAAATTATTTACTACCTTAACAGACCTTTTGTTTGGTTCCTACTCCAGTCATATTTGTCTTTTTGTCCTAAGCTGGTAAAACCTTTCATCCATCTTAAGTATACCTGGTTTATGCTTTCTATTTTCTATAAGGAAAGTCAACTGTTTCCTCTTATTCCACTCAGTCTGTAGCCATTTCATAAATCTTCAGCTTCTGTTACTCCATCATATATTCTCCTGTTGGGTCTTTACTCCAACTGCATTCATTCTTCTCCATCAAGAGAACCATCAAGGAAAGGATATTATCAAAAAAGCTATAAACTGTCCACACAAGAATGGGAGATGCTATTAGTTTGTCTTTGAGTCAGAGACCACAGAGAACAAGACTACGCCAAAGTAGGTCACATTATCTTTCCAATAAAAGCTCATTAATGACAGAAGAAAACACCAGTTCAGTCTCTGCACAGAAAAGGGGACATAAGTGCTATTTAAGGAAGTACTAAAGTCAAGACTCCTTGGTTTAGGAGAAATTTTAAGTTGGAGGCAAGAGAGCACAGAAGGATATTCTCAGGCACACAAAACAAGATTCATACCATTAACTGATAAAAATCATTTCAGAGGGAATACAGGAAGCCCACATTTCTCCAAGTATAAACAGTTATCACTTAGCAAAAACAGTACTGCAGAACTGTTTGAAAACTATAAACACTATCTGTCACAGCATAGTAAGCAATGCAAGTAGCAACTAAATCTGCAGTTAAAACCATCTGACAGCTTTTATTACAGCTCTCTGCTTTCATTTGATGAATTTGAAGAAAATCACAACAAAATGCTCTCGGATGTCTTTTTTTTCCCACAGTACTATACATGATGGGTTTGGGAACTGACTTCGAAAGATAATTTTAAAATGTTTAATAAATGCTTTCATCATGATTTCTTACATTTTAGCTTATGAAATTTTACATGGAAATCAAATTGATACCAACAATATGTAAATTTACTGGTTTTATATGGTTTAGTAAGAGTATTAAAAGAAATGGCAAGACATTTAGACTTTGTCCCAAAAAAAATACTGCTTTAGGGTTGTGGGTGAGGGAGAGATACCATACAAAAGCTATACTAACATGATTTTAATCCATTTAATTAGCAGACCTAAAATGTTCTTAATGTAAAAAAAAATATATCAGCTCGTAGAATTTTTGTTAAGAAGTTCTAAAGCAATCCATGCACTTGGCTTAAGGCAATTTATTATCTTTACCAAAAGCATACGAGGATACAGGTCACTGCTGACCAAACATCCCACAAACGTTTGGGCCCTTTATATTAATAAAGGTTGGGAGTGACTTGCTTACATAGGCCAAGCACACCTTTTGGGAAAGCTCTATATATTTTAACACAGCCAAGTTCCAGATGATATTTCCACAAAGAGGGCACATGTTAGACACTGTCACTGCTTGAACAAGGAACGAAATCCCAGAAAGCCACTGAACATTAGAGGACTTGCATTTTATGACAAAAATCAATGATCACAGTTCCAAGGCAAGTCATTATTCATTAAAAGAACCTGAGCTCTCAGAGCATTGTTGAAAAGAAGGATGAAAATATTCTTTTATCTATCCAAGGCTTGTATCAGACAGGAAGACAGAGATAATATTGCTGCCAATACCAGTCTCACCAATTTAGAGTACAGAGTAACACACAGCTCTGCTTTTCTCTTCAAAACAGATGCTATGAAAGGAAAGGATTCCAAAAAGATCTATGTGAATAATCCAATATCTGGAAAGAGTTTCTGTTTAGTCTTGTAAGAATCTTCCTCACTTCTCATGAAGACAAAAAAATCCTGATCACACTATATAAACGCCTACAAAGGATGATTGCAGATTCCTTAAATTCAGTGAAACACATGGAGTGATTCATGTAGTTCCGTGGCTTCTGGTATTTCTTACCCTGGGGTACCTGACTTGGCATTGTTAAATCATTGCTGTATTATATTTATTTTATTCAGTGTGCAACACACTATGAAAAGTCAGTGCCATACAAATCACAGAAGAAATACCCATCAAGGGTCAAAGAGCACAGATATCATCTCTGCAACCCAGAAACCCAAACTCTAGAATGATATAGTACAGGAAACATCATTCTACATTAGTTTTGCTTTTACAGGTTTTCCTCAGTAGCCACAAGGTCACTCTCAAAACAGGATGCAAGATCAGATCAATCTGATCAGATCAACCAGATCAATCTGATCAGATCAATCTGACCCTTGAAAGGTGGTTTTCTGTTATTAGTGCTAAACACATTATATGTCAAGTCAGTTGTCTTTTCAGAAAGCACAAATTCAGGAGACATAAAGGCACACTGCATAGATATATGACAAAAAGAAAACAACCATTAAATCTGGTATTTATAGTCAACAACTAATTCAATGTTTACCTTATGTCTTGCAAAGCCTTTATATAGAGAAAGTAGTACTACAGCTAAGTAAAGAAACAATCACACAAAAATTGCAAAAGAAGAGACAGTGGTTTCCAAACACCTATACTCTCTCAACTTTTGACAACCACTGGGGGGGGGGGGGGGGGGGGGG